CGTAGCAAGCTTTACAAACTGAAAACTCGCTAGTCGCTGAATAGTAGCTCACATTCACATCCAGACAGGAACTAATATTCGCCGGAAAATCAAAAGAACTTTTTCCAAAAACATAAATTTTTTCTTTTGTCTCAACTGAGGTGGAACAAATAAAAGAACGATCACTTTGCAAAACCTTCTTCAGGGTTTCCTCCAGCAAGAAACTACGATGAAATGCAGAATTTGAAAACGCGGGAATAACGATATTAATTACAATCTCTTGTGCTCTGATTGGTCACATAAGAAACAATGTCAGTGATCTCATTGGTGCAAAGACAACAAAGGGAAAGGAATGTTGTACGAATGTGAGCAGCCGTTTGTAGGGAGGAGCGTTGCGTGACGAGACTAAAAACGGCTGCGAGGGAGACTATCGTCTTACATGATACATCCAAAACTTTATTTCCTCTCCAATTTCAGAGCAACCATACAAAATTTTGCCAATACCTTGCTCTCTTGATTTAAACGTAAATAGACACAAAGGAAAATTTGGCTTTTCTCTTTGGAATGGTCACAGCAGAGGATTAATCATATAAGCAATTACTTAATATTCCACGAATATGGAACCAAAACAAGTATAAAAATTTTCTAGGAAAACCATCAAAGACATGTTTATATCTGCTACGGGAACCTCATTGGTTCCCTAGTGAAAGAATCACGTGCTTTCTTCCATACAACGGGAGACTTTGATCAGTGTATTTCCACAGAGGGGCTCTTGTAAATAACTTGGAATTGTCAAAGCAGACAGATAGTCATAAAAGCAACTTGTTATTCCAAAATACAGAACCAAAACAAGTTTGAACTTGTCTAGGAAAACAATCATGTTAATTTCTGCTACTAAAACCTCATTGGTTCCCTGGTGAGAGAATCACGTGCTTACTTTCATGTGATATTACGGGAAACTTTCATCAGTGTACTTCCGCAGAGGGTCTCTTGTAAACAACAACACTTAGCAGAGGAAACAATTCAACACCAGGTAGGTCGAATTTTTCTTAACCTACATCAGCTAGTTTTTCAGTGTATGCTATACTGTGCTCGCCGTAACTGAACTAGCTAAATAAGTGGTTACTTGACATAAATAAAAAAGTCCAGAGAGCACTTAAAACCTACGGCATTCTAGCGATGCGTAAGACGAGTCAAAGTCGGACGCCCACTCTCACTTTCGAGCGGCGGATAGAAGAAAATCTAAGCACTAACATTTTCACACTATATCATTCTGTTTATTGCATTATGCTTATAACTTGAAAGGCTAGTTACGATGTGCCTGAATTATTGTACCGCAAGTTACTTTCGTTCTGAGAAAAAGTTTCCCGCTTAAAATAAAATAACACTGCTTAGCTTTCGTTTAGAAAGTATGGGCCTTTCCGTATCGGAAAGTGATAGGAAAGTGGTCAGCTTAGGAACATGGCACTTTTTAACCATTAAGCAAGAGAATTTCTACGTCACTCTTGTAACTTGGGAGAAAATCTTGTAACAGTTTTTCAGCTTCGAAATATTTTTTGCGATCTATTATTCATTAATTCCTGCTGAAAGGCCATCATTTAGTTTTTTCTCGTTATGTAAGGCGGTACTCAGGAGGTTCGAAAACGATTTTGCGAGCTTAATCTTTGTAGACTGATGGCTTCGACATACAAATATTTTGTTTTCATATGGAAGAATGTCATTCGCCTTAACTCCAAAACACATCATGCCCCACGGAATTACTTATGGTATGCAAAGCCGAGAAGTTCGTAGCAGTTATAATGTTGTTCTGTTGTGCTTTAAGAGCGAGACATTGACCCACCACATTCGACGGATCCGATTCAACTAATGATATTTTACAAAGGAACCGTAATTTTCCATTGTCTATAATCTTCTTGATCATAGAAGTGACAACAACTATGATCGAATCTAAATTGAAACCACGAAGCGCAGCAAGTTGATTCTGCATGATTAGTCATATTAACTAGGAAATTTTCCATTTTCAAGAAAAATTATTTTTGAGCAGCAACTGAAGTGAGCTTATTATCAAACACACCGTTCTCTAAACATGCGCCTCTGAGGACTTTTATTTTTTCCATCGTTTGACCCTCATCTACTTAGTCTATGGTTTCAGAAATCCTAAGAAACGGCGACTGCTTATCATAGATGCTCCTGTTATGCAAAATTATGAATTTTTCATTGAATCTGCTCTACTTCGATCTACGAAAACATGACAAACCCCATACCGTTCTTCATACATATCTTAAGAAACTGACATGGAGAATCTGTTTAACAATCAAGAGCTTCTTAACTCACAGGCAGCCCAAGCTCGCTACTAGAAAAGCGGACGCGACTCTTACCGTGTTGCGTAACGTTTTATATTTATAAAGGTTTGTATGGGATGTTATCGGTTTGCCTTAAAAGAGAGAAAAAATTGTCTTGTTTTGAAATAAAATGGGCTTACCTTATTGCCTTGTTGTTTTCTTTGTTGATTCCGAGCGTCTCAGGCAATTTTGAAGCGTTTTCGGCGAGTTAGCGCTATGTTGGTGTTCAACTGCTAAAAGAAAGACAAGGCAGGAAACCTATTTTAGAAGCGTCCGTCGCCCGAAGCAAATAATTCCGCCAAAAAATTACCACCAGTCTCGATTCCTCCAGAAAATCAAAGCAGAGATGTTGCAGTTCCATTTTCCATTCACTCGATAACCATAAATGCTCATGTTATGTGAAGTTATGAATTTTTCATTGAATCTGTTTCTACTTCGATCAGTACGAAGACATCGTTCGTTTTTCGTTGAGCGCGGGCTCCGGTTCCCGAACAGCGTCTATAATCGAGCCTACGAAAAAATGACAAACATCGTTTTGCGCGTTTTAACATTTGACACCCTAGCATCAATATGCATATTCTCCATACCGTTCTTTATACATTTCTTAAGGTGCTGACAAGGAGAATTTGCTGAACAATCAAGACCTTAATGTTTGATTCAGGGGTGACATCATATGGGAGAAATCCGATGTTGGTCATTTATGCCGGTTAAAGGGTTAATTTATAGTAACTGAATGATTTTATTAATTATAGGAAACTTTGGTCGCAGAATGGGCACGAAAATAGATAGCAATATGGAAGATGCCGTCAGAGGTATAAATGAGTTGTCTGAAGCTGAAAGGCAACAATGTGAGAATGGTTTGCAAGACCTTCTAATGAAGACGGTAGATGCGCGTGACAAAATCCAAATAGCCGCCGACAGTTTTCGCACAGCAGCTGATACACTTGATCAGGTATGGCGGGACTGCAAGATAGCACACGCTGCTGGAACAACTGGTGGAATAATTTCGAGCTGCCTCGCCCTGGCAGGTGTAACAGTGGCGACTGGGGGTGCTGCCACGCCAGTACTATTGGCTGGACTGGGTTTTGGAATTGGTGGAGCTGTCACAAACATTGGAACAAACTGTGTAGAGTCCTCCATAAAGTCTGCTCAAATCAAGAAGGCTGAAAAACTCTTGGGGGAGGCTTTAGACAGCATCAACGTAGTTCATACGACTGTTCAGAGTTGGCTGGATAAGAAAGAAAAGATGAAAATCTTATACATTTTATATCTCGCAGAAAGCTTCGAGTTTCTTGACCCTGTTCTGTTAAACCTGCTTCATGATATGGTATCTACTGCCTTCGGGATCCCAATTAACATCTTGAAAAGGTTATCTGCCGCCGCAGCCCCTTCGAAGGCCGGAGCGAAACTCTTAACAAACGTCGGTCCACAGGGTGGGAAAGGAATAGGACAGCTTGCTGATGACGCAGCACAAGCAGGCAAGACAGGATTGCAAATAGCTGATGACATGGCTCAAGTGGGAAAAGCAGGATTGCAAGCCTCTGATGACGTGGCACAGGCTGGTGCCAAAGCAGGGTCCAAGACGGCAGGAAAATATGCTGGTAAGGTCTTGATTGCAGCTAACATTGCATTCCTGATGGTGGATTGCATTGACTTGGGCTTCACGGTCAGAGATCTTGTTGAAAACAAGGGATCCGAAGCAGCAAAAGAGTTGAGGAAGAAGGCAAATCAACTCGAGGATTTATTNCAGTTGAACACCAACATAGCGCTAACTCGCCGAAAACGCTTCAAAATTGCCTGAGACGCTCGGAATCAACAAAGAAAACAACAAGGCAATAAGGTAAGCCCATTTTATTTCAAAACAAGACATTTTTTTCTCTCATTTAAGGCAAACCGATAACATCCCATACAAACCTTTATAAATATAAAACGTTACGCAACACGGTAAGAGTCGCGTCCGCTTTTCTAGCAGTGAGCTTGGGCTGCCTGTGCTTAACTTAGTCATCATTTCCTGTATTCTCATGAACTTGATGTTTGATTCAGGGTTGATATTGAAGGGAGAAATAAGATGCTAGTCACTAGGAGGTAAAGGGTTTATTTGTTATTCAGAATGATTTTTTTAATTACAGGAAACTTTGGTTACAGAATGGCCGCGAAAATAGACAGCAACATAGAAGATGCCGTCAGAGGTATAAATGAGTTGTCTGATGCTGAAAAGCAACAATGTGAGAATAGTCTGCGTGACCTTCTGATGAGGGCTAAAGCTAAAGATTTGTGTGTCAGGGTCCAAATAGCCGCTGACAGTTTACGCACAGCAGCTGATAAACTTGATCGGGTATGGCGAGACTGCAAGATAGCACACGCTGCTGGAACAAGTGGTGGAATAATTGCGAGCTGCCTCGCCCTTTTAGGTGGAGCAATACTGAGTGGGGGTGCTGCCACGCCAGTACTGTTGGCTGGATTGGGTTTCGGAATTAGTGGAGCTGTGACAAACCTCGGGACAAGCTTAGCAGAGTCCTCCATAAACTCTGTTGAAATCGAGAAGGCTGAAAAACTCTTGGGGGAGACTTTAGACAGCATCAACGTAGTTCATACGACTGTTCAAAGTTGGCTGAAGAAGAAAGAGATGACGAGGATCGCATACATTTTATATCTCGCAGAAAGCTTCGAGTTTGTGGACCCCATTCTGCTAAACCTGCTTCATGCAGTGGTATCTGCTACCTTCGAGATCCCCATCAGCATGTTGCAAACGTTGTCTGCTGCTGCAGCCCAGTCGACGCCCGGAGCAAAACTCATAACAGAAGTCGGTGCACAGGGAGGGAAAGGAATAGCACAGCTTGCTGATGACGCAGCACAAGCAGGCAAGACAGGATTGCAAATGGCTGATGACATGGCTCAAGTGGGAAAAGCAGGATTGCAAGCCTCTGATGACGTAGCACAGGCTGGTGCCAAAGCAGGGTCCAAGACGGTAGGAAAATATGCTGGTAAGGTCTTGATTATAGCTAATATCGCATTCTTGATGGTGGATTGCATTGACTTGGGCTTCACGGTCAGAGATCTTGTTGAGAACAAGGGATCAGAAGCAGCAAAAGAGTTGAGGAAGAAGGCAAATCAACTCGAGGATTTATTGAGGAAGCGAGACGCCTAAAGAACTGTTGACGTTTTATATTAACGACGAAACCGAAACACCTTTGAAAAGACGTGAATGCAACCATTTCATATGAGAAACATATAAGTATTGACTCTCCGTTTCGGTTTATTGATTAAACGTCGCCAGCTTACTTCCATAAGGCTCTATAGAGGTGCTCCATGGTTATCTTAAGTGATACATAGCAAGGGTTTCACAGCTTTGTTGTACTATATGCAGTATTTAATATAGCGTTAGCCTACAGAGCAGGCGTAATTGGGGTGAGCGGAAAATGGCCGCCATCTCTGATTTTAATGGCAGCGGAAGGCTGGGGAGAGAGAGAAATTTGTACCAAATTAGACATGGCCGGTTAAATTAACGATCGCGTGCTTCTTAGAGTTAACTCGCCCTAGTAAGACGCCTGCAAAGCAGCGTGGAAAGGTGTGCGAGTATTTGCAAAGAAACCGATCCTTAAATTCCAAAATGACCTTGAAAACTGTAAAAAAATGTCAGATGTTTGGAGGACACTAGTATTTAGAACTCTATTTTTGCACCTTTGAAAGTTTTTTTTATGAATCCAGTGTCTTAATTAATGAAAGATCACATGTATATTCGTTACAAAAACCAGGAAACGAGATAAGGATCAAATAACCTCGTCGTTTTCACAGTAAAAAGGACTTGTGATATCTAGATCATGATTTTTTTTTTTGAGTGAGCATTAAACTGATTGAAAAATTATCTCGTTATTCCTAGTTATCATTCATGTATTCTCTACGATTATTGATTCTCCATACCACTTTTACGGTAAAATAAAGGTGTTTTGCTATGACGCGTGATGGTCACATGATAAATTGATAGGGAGTCGCGTGACCGATCTCTATGGGTATCTTAAACCTGCATAGCAGCGCATGGTAAGGTTTACCATTTCACTAGTAAAAAAATGTGACAGAATCAATATATGAATTTTTCTGACTGCAGCTGTTGATTGTGATTATACTAAGAGCAGTCCTTCCTTTTGGGCGANCAAGAGTAAGACGACGGTTTTATTTGGAGAGAGTGATACAAAACAAAAATATTGTTAATGACTCCCAAGATGCAATTGCTGGACTGAAAGATTGATGTTTCATCTGCTCATGCGCGCTTGGCTGTATCATTCCTTAATTATGAATCGCGTCGCATAAGCAGGGTATAGAATTTTACCGTTTTAGCTAAAATTTGCTGACGAATTTTCCTGTACAATTCTTCCTTTTTAGTAGCGTCACTGAACTATAAAGAAATATGGTAAAAAAAACAATCGAGAATTATTGCTGCAAATCTTTGGAATCAGAAATCTTTTTCTAAAGGAGGAAATAACAATCTGATGAACTTTACATACCAAATATAAACTCGTCGCGAGGAATCAAATTTGCGATTTAAAAATCAAATTTTGTTTGCCAGGTTGATATAAACAGCAGTAAATTCGTAGCCCTTTCTTTAATAAAAACTTTGCAAAAATCATCGTATTCATTTAAATATGAACCTAAATTTAAATCTACATAAATCTACTCAAAAACATTACCTTGTAACTAAGGAAGCAGCAAGCTTAGTAACCAGGCCTTTGTCTACCATCAGAACTAAAACCCCCGGCCCCGCTGCGGTCTGACCGAGTTCGTGACAACTTAAAAGCTACTCGACTATTTTATAGCGTTAATTTTAAGTAATTTTATATGACTTTCAATTTATGCCGCAGCTCCTAGACAACATTACTTTTACCGTCGTAACTTTTATGACGTTTGTGTAACTGTACTCAGGGCTCTTCTTGCCAGTAGGTTGCTCTTAAGCAACTGAAAGGACCACTCTTATAAATTAAAAAAAGGCATCTGTCTGTCATAATAAAAGTGTCACTAAAACCACAATAAATAACAAGTGCAGTGTTCTCTAAGCATGCGCAGAGGATTTTTCCCCGGAGATAAATATCATTGATTGTGTCTTCGTAGTGAAAGAAAAATTAATAATTAATAGTTATTGTGAATGATTATATTACAGGTAGCAAAAAGAATGCCGCAAAGCCAATCAGTAACAAGGAATTAGAAAGAGCTGTCAGAGAGACAAACGATTTGTCTGAAGATGAAAAGCAAGAGTGTCAGAGGACTCTATATGACCTTCAAATGAAGACAATGAGGCGTGTAACAAAATCAGGATAGCGGCTGCCAGTCTCCGTGCAATGGCTGAAAAACTGGATCAAGTATGAGAGGACTGCAAGATAGCACGCGCTGTTTGAACTACTGGTTAAGTAATTTCGGGCGGCCTCACCCTTGCCGGTGCAACAGCAGTGACTGGGGGTACTGCCTTGCTAGCGGCTGGAGTAGGTCTCCTATTTGGTGGAGCCGCCACAAACATCGTGGCAAGCAAGGTAGAGTCCTCCAAAAACTCTGCTGAAATCGAGAAAGCTGAAAAACTCTTGGGTGAGGCTCCATAGAGCATCAATGTCGTTGAAACGACTGTCCAGAATTGCCTGGATATTAAAGAGATGACGAAAATCACAGTTTTTTTTTTTTTTTTTACATTTTACACCTCGCAAAAAGCTTACAGTTTGTCGACCCCATCTTGTTGAACGTATTGAAAAAGCTTTCTGCGGCTGCAGCCTCATCGAAGGCCGGAAGAAACCTCTTAACAAACTTCGGTGTACAAGGAGTGAAAGGAATGATACAAGTTGCAGATGATTTGGCACAGGCAAATGCCAAAGCAGGGTCCAAGTCAGCAGGATTGATTGCAGCCAATACTGCATTCCTGAAGGTGGTTTGCATTGACCTGGCCTTCATGGTCAGAGATCTTATTAAAAACAAGGGAAGCGAAGCAGCAGAATATTTAAGGAGAAAGGCGAAGGAACTCGAGAATGTCTTGGACCAGCAACAAAGACCTCTTTATCTCAGACCTGGCTCTTTTTGAGATGGTGTTGAACCGGGGGAACGAGATAAACAGTTATGACTTTGTGAGACACCACACTTTCAAAAGGAAACACTGAATCAAAGATTCTTTTAATTGATTTATATGTTGTTGCCCTTATTAGTGTTGAACTTTTAGTAGTAATTAAGGTAGGTACATAGTGTCGTCAATGTAATCATAATCGTATTATTGGTATAATTTGGATATATCAACAAAGTTGAAATGGTAAACGCAGCCCCAAACAGTTTCTTTCGAAACTATCAGCCTTTATTCATTCGTATTACTGGTAGCTCGACAGTTTTACAACAATAGTTGTAGTATTGAAATGCATAAATTTTATCTTGTATACCCCTCAACTAAGTTGTTCTTTGGAGTGTTAGCATTTTCAACTGAAGATCTAGAGAACCGGAGCGTATACGAATGATGACAAGTTGACTTAAACGTTTAGTGTTCATTGCTTTCCCTTTCACTGCGGCCATAGATTTCGATCTTTCATCCCTTGCATTTGTCAACTCAGGCTTTGATCGCTTGAAATTTTTCTGTAGCTGTAAAACAACCGTCAGTAGATTCTGAGTTTTCAGTTCTCAGTAAAGTTATAGTTTGCCTCTTTCAGTTTGTAGCAATTGAAATGATTTAATCAGAGACTGAATGTAATTTCCATTGCACCCTTGAATGCCTAAACAAGACGGACAAATCCAATGATGTCATTTTTATCTCCGTTATAGGGGATTCGTGTCTTATGACTTTAGAGTAGCGTTTTCTTAGAGAATCAAACTTGTAAAATGTTTTTTGTCTTTTATTACGGTAAACATTTCTTTGGTTATTTAACCACACCTTTATTTAATGCGGTTAGTTAACATCAGTAAATAACATTACATTAATAGACAGCAGTAAAGAAAGGCTTAAAGTGCCTAAGTAACGAATTAACTGTAACACGATTTGGTAAAATCACTCACCGTAACCTTATATTTTGCAACTTAAAAGGCTTCATTTTGCCCTAAGTTAAAAGGCTGAG